TCGTTCATTCCGCGTCCAGTGGATCCGTGGCGCCATCTCAGAATAAGGGACAGAAACGTGGCTTTCGCTCAAAACATCGGTTATTATTTCCTCGTCTTCTGTGTACTCGAAGTACGTTAAACTCCGAAAGCAGACGATGGTCGGAGCAAGAACCGTTGCAGACAAAGATACTTCGTTTCTGCAGCAGCATCGGGGAGGTATTATTTATTCGCATTTACAGTCTGACACTTTGAGCACTGTGAAACTTACCTCAAAAACCCAATCAACTTTATTTGGGCAAATATTATCCCGGAGAAGCGAAAACTCGAATAAAAGCGCGTTTTTTTCGTTCATTCCTCGTCCAGGGGACCCGTGAACGCATTCTCAGAATAAGGGACAGAAACGAGGCTTCCGCTCAAAACATCGGTTATTATTTCCTCGTCTTCTGTGTACTCGAAGTACGTTAAACTCCGAAAGCAGACGATGGTCGGAGCAAGAACCGTTGCAGACAAAGATACTTCGTTTCTGCAGCAGCATCGGGGAGGTATTATTTATTCGCATTTACAGTCTGACACTTTGAGCACTCTGACACTTACCTCAAAAACCCAAACAACTTTATTTGGGCAAATATTATCCCGGAGAAGCGAAAACTCGAATAAAAGCGCGTTTTTTTCGTTCATTCCTCGTCCAGGGGACCCGTGAACGCATTCTCAGAATAAGGGACAGAAACGAGGCTTCCGCTCAAAACATCGGTTATTATTTCCTCGTCTTCTGTGTACTCGAAGTACGTTAAACTCCGAAAGCAGACGATGGTCGGAGCAAGAACCGTTGCAGACAAAGATACTTCGTTTCTGCAGCAGCATCGGGGAGGTATTATTTATTCGCATTTACAGTCTGACACTTTGAGCACTCTGACACTTACCTCAAAAACCCAAACAACTTTATTTGGGCAAATATTATCCCGGAGAAGCGAAAACTCGAATAAAAGCGCGTTTTTTTCGTTCATTCCGCGTCCAGTGGATCCGTGGCGCCATCTCAGAATAAGGGACAGAAACGTGGCTTTCGCTCAAAACATCGGTTATTATTTCCTCGTCTTCTGTGTACTCGAAGTACGTTAAACTCCGAAAGAAGACGATGGTCGGAGCAAGAACCGTTGCAGACAAAGATACTTCGTTTCTGCAGCAGCATCGGGGAGGTATTATTTATTCGCATTTACAGTCTGACACTTTGAGCACTCTGACACTTACCTCAAAAACCCAAACAACTTTATTTGGGCAAATATTATCCCGGAGAAGCGAAAACTCGAATAAAAGCGCGTTTTTTTCGTTCATTCCGCGTCCAGTGGATCCGTGGCGCCATCTCAGAATAAGGGACAGAAACGTGGCTTTCGCTCAAAACATCGGTTATTATTTCCTCGTCTTCTGTGTACTCGAAGTACGTTAAACTCCGAAAGCAGACGATGGTCGGAGCAAGAACCGTTGCAGACAAAGATACTTCGTTTCTGCAGCAGCATCGGGGAGGTATTATTTATTCGCATTTACAGTCTGACACTTTGAGCACTCTGACACTTACCTCAAAAACCCAAACAACTTTATTTGGGCAAATATTATCCCGGAGAAGCGAAAACTCGAATAAAAGCGCGTTTTTTTCGTTCATTCCGCGTCCAGTGGATCCGTGGCGCCATCTCAGAATAAGGGACAGAAACGTGGCTTTCGCTCAAAACATCGGTTATTATTTCCTCGTCTTCTGTGTACTCGAAGTACGTTAAACTCCGAAAGAAGACGATGGTCGGAGCAAGAACCGTTGCAGACAAAGATACTTCGTTTCTGCAGCAGCATCGGGGAGGTATTATTTATTCGCGTTTACAGTCTGACACTTTGAGCACTCTGAAACTTACCTCAAAAACCCAAACAACTTTATTTGGGCAAATATTATCCCGGAGAAGCGAAAACTCGAATAAAAGCGCGTTTTTTCGTTCATTCCGCGTCCAGGGGACCCGTGAACGCCGTCTCAGAATAAGGGACAGAAACGAGGCTTCCGCTCAAAACATCGCTTATTATTTCCTCGTCTTCTGTGTACTCGAAGTACGTTAAACTCCGAAAGAAGACGATGGTCGGAGCAAGAACCGTTGCAGACAAAGATACTTCGTTTCTGCAGCAGCATCGGGGAGGTATTATTTATTCGCATTTACAGTCTGACACTTTGAGCACTCTGACACTTACCTCAAAAACCCAAACAACTTTATTTGGGCAAATATTATCCCGGAGAAGCGAAAACTCGAATAAAAGCGCGTTTTTTCGTTCATTCCGCGTCCAGGGGACCCGTGAACGCCGTCTCAGAATAAGGGACAGAAACGAGGCTTCCGCTCAAAACATCGCTTATTATTTCCTCGTCTTCTGTGTACTCGAAGTACGTTAAACTCCGAAAGAAGACGATGGTCGGAGCAAGAACCGTTGCAGACAAAGATACTTCGTTTCTGCAGCAGCATCGGGGAGGTATTATTTATTCGCATTTACAGTCTGACACTTTGAGCACTGTGAAACTTACCTCAAAACCCAAACAACTTTATTTGGGCAAATATTATCCCGGAGAAGCGAAAACTCGAATAAAAGCGCGTTTTTTTCGTTCATTCCGCGTCCAGGGGATCCGTGAACGCATTCTCAGAATAAGGGACAGAAACGAGGCTTTCGCTCAAAACATCGGTTATTATTTCCTCGTCTTCTGTGTACTCGAAGTACGTTAAACTCCGAAAGAAGACGATGGTCGGAGCAAGAACCGTTGCAGACAAAGATACTTCGTTTCTGCAGCAGCATCGGGGAGGTATTATTTATTCGCATTTACAGTCTGACACTTTGAGCACTGTGAAACTTACCTCAAAACCCAAACAACTTTATTTGGGCAAATATTATCCCGGAGAAGCGAAAACTCGAATAAAAGCGCGTTTTTTTCGTTCATTCCGCGTCCAGAGGATCCGTGAACGCATTCTCAGAATAAGGGACAGAAACGAGGCTTTCGCTCAAAACATCGCTTATTATTTCCTCGTCTTCTATGTACTCGAAGTACGTTAAACTCCGAAAGAAGACGATGGTCGGAGCAAGAACCGTTGCAGACAAAGATACTTCGTTTCTGCAGCAGCATCGGGGAGGTATTATTTATTCGCATTTACAGTCTGACACTTTGAGCACTCTGACACTTACCTCAAAACCCAAACAACTTTATTTGGGCAAATATTATCCCAGGGAACCGAAAACTCCAATAAAAGCGCGCTTATCATTTTCTACAATGCGTCTACTACACACACTGGCACGCCACATCAAGAGCGTCTACACTCTTAGAAAAAAGGGTATGGATAGTACCTCTCAGAGTATTTTGAATGGCTCAGGGGATTAATCTCTTATTAAAAAGTAAACGCTCGATCATGCCGTAATTATTTGAAAGCCAATAAATCAAGCCGTTCCAATGCGGTTCGAAGCCACGAGTTTGTTTCGCCACACGGCACGTCGTAGCCTGTATTTCTATTGGTTTTTCTATTTGTGCTGTTCGCGCAAAGCTGCAATTACCGTCTCGAATTAATCTCTGTAGAGCGGATATTCACTCAGCGTGAAGTGATGCTTCACATGCTGAGAAATCGCTTTTCGATCAACTTGAATGCAGTCAAAGCCGCGACTTGCGGCAGGTGTTAAGTGTACGGAGCTACGCCGTGGCGAGCCCGAAAACTTCTAGCGCTCATCCCAGCGCGCCACTTGTAGGGGAGTTTCTCCAGGAACCGTAGTATATTTAAACAGCAAAATAAAGGGTAGCTATTTTTTTTTTTTTTTCGATTTTACCTTGTATTGTTTTTTAATGCCGAAATTCCATACTGTAAAAATACGTACTTTGTGTTTCACGATTTCGTACTGTTCAGTCCTTGCCCCAGAGCTCAATCGCTCTCGGGGACAATTGCGACAGTCACGTTGGTCACTGTACGATAGCGATAGGAGCTTCTACTGTTGAGACCAGCGTTCCAACATGACTATCCGCACGTTGATCGATTGCACGTAATCCCTCAAGTGGTGTCTTTAATGTAAAGCGGAATGTCAACCTGCGACACCAAGCCCCCTCCGATCACGGCCCGACCAACGGCATCAATGCCAGGGAGTTTACGATCTCATCTTGTTGTTACACCACTGATACGCGAACACACGGTCACATCGGCGATAATTCCAGTCTTCTGTTCACAACACTGCCATCACGATGTTGCAGCTATGTTGCTGACACGCACAAATACAGAACCACGTTGAACGCCGGTTGCACTCGGCATTGGAAAACCGAACTCAGGAAGGAAGGCACCCAGGCAGCAAAACCTGCCTGTCTTGGACGCAGTTCCTGCGGTTTCCATAACGTCGAAAACGTCGACATAGTTCCGCGTAGTTTCGATACTGTAGTGACTGTAGTTCGTGCCGCGCGAGTCCCGCAATCCGGAGACGGCCATCCCCCAGTGTACGTGGCGCTGCTGGCACTGCTCCGGAACTTCGCTGTTTCTAGCGGCTTCGTTGGCTCATTTAATGAAATTAGTGATAAAAACGTCAATGCAACCGAAATTTTCTGCACATTGAGACTAGAAGACGGAATTATAGGCGGCCTTTGCTGCCGCTGAAGCTCAATGAACTCGACAGCTATTTATTAAACAACGTGCGCGACCTGCTCGAAAAACCAAACCGAAAGAAGATGAGTCGGGAGGGCGAAAGCTTTCTCCCGTCTGCCTGAAGAAGGAGCAGTGTCTAACCTGGAAGGCAAAAAGCAAACAACGGGCGCGACGGGATTTCTAGATCGAATTAAACGCAGATAGCATTTATTAATTTGTTGTTCCGCGCAAGAAATGCGTGTACATGACGCTGGGAAAAAGAGAAACTTTAAAAGCGAATACTTTTTTTTTAATCAATATTTGTTACGCGAAGAACAGATTTCGAAGCGCGGCCGAGCGCTTTATAGTCCGGACTCCTATTCAAACCACGAGAGATAGTAGAAGCATTCTCAAATACCTTTCCTTGCATGTTGTCTAGCGTCGTCGCTTTTGTGTCCATAGTCCAGAGTTATCCAAAGTTCACCAGGAAAGTGCACACACACACACGTTCACAGAAGCGTCCACGTTGAGCCGGGGCAGGGCCGTTTTGATATCACCCGAGACTGGGGTAGAAGCATCAAATCGTAGAAGGGACAGAAAATAGTCCCTTCTACGACTTGAAGCTTCTACCCCAGTCTCAGGCTATTTTAACATTGTGAATATTCACCAGCTCGCGTGCACCCTCTTTTCTTGACTCACAAAGAAGCACACACACGTGTATTTGGGCGGTTCTTTGTCAAGGCGGGGGACATGAGGTAGGACTAGACTTGCCCGGTTGAGAGTGGGATTTCTGGAATAGAAAAGAAAAGTGTTGTAATATTAAGAAAAGGGTACAATAGATATTTTTGTTTTTAGATTTGGTAACTTTTAAGTAGAGAGTTGAATGATTAGGATAGAGTTGAAAAAGGTCGACGCAGAACGTAATAGCACCCTGTAAGGTACCGTTCCGACGTGCGTCGACCTTTTGTCGCGGGTTTTGACCGTTAGGGGTTTTATCATCATCATGATCCAGGGTTTCGGTTCTCTGTTTTCAGGGTGCTATAATGGCGCATGCGCAGAGGATCTCCTCCCGGGCGATTCAGGCGAGTTTTTTTTTTTTTTTTTTCTTTTTTTGGCTGCTAGGAAGGGTACTGCTCTGCCTGTATGAAAGTGTCCAGTTACTTGGGTACCTCTAGAAAACAGACTCCAGGTCACGTGATGTTTTTTTTTTGTCGGAGCAAGGATGAGTCACCCTCGCCTGAACGGCGCCTGGCTGTTGCTATGCGTGTTCTGGGCCTGGGGGCTCACTTTGAGACTCAGACGAGAACGGAAGAAGGTGGGATTACCGTAACTCGAGAAGGTATTTGCTCATTTTATGATCTTTTTTTGCCCAAAGTAGTCGTTTGTGTGAGCGCGTGCGATTATAAGTACTATTATTTTTGGGAGGATGATAAAAGAGGGTTTGTTCTCCTCGGCGGTTGGTAGATGGAAAGGATATGTTCTTCTCGGAGCTAGCGAGATTCTGCACGCTTTTCCGAGTGTCGGCAAAGAAGGCTTTTAATGGGATATACTATATTGAGCGTGAAAGAGTATATAGGCGCACAAGATGAATTGAATTCTCGGCGGAGCGGCTGGTCGTTTTTTTGAAGGCTCTTTACCAGAGCGCGAGCAAGATTTACCTATGCGTGTTTCATGGAAGTGCTTTTTTTGATAGGTCCATGCTCGGCAAAGATATAAAGTGTATTAAGCTTTGAAGCGCGTATTCCATCGCGCAATGATGGAATACTGCCTCGGATAAAGAGAATTGAAAATTTAGGTGCGCGATCAAACCATAATAGGGAGAAAAAGGCATTCAAGCCTGGCCTAAACAGCCGGTCGGTCGCCTTTTTTTGGGGGTCGCGTGGCCTAAACATCCTCGGCGTTTGGGCAGTTTTCGCTAGGGAGCTCTCAGTTGGCGCGAAAAAACGAGAATAATAAATAAACTGTTGGCTTTAAAACGGTCTCTGTTAGAGTGGGTATAGTAGAGAAACTTCTTTCGCGGTACGCCAAGTTCAGAGTGTCTACCTACGTTTGTTATTTTTTTTAACTGATAAAACGAAGTCAGCCGCGATTCGAACGTCCGATTGTGGATTGCGCAATATTGTTTTGCTCGTATTTATTTAATTTCTCGACTATTTCTTGCTGTAATTGGGTTGGTAGGGTCCAAATATTTTTTTTTTTTTTATCTTGCATCGTAAAATTAGCGTTCGAGCGGTTTGGGTATTCGCTAGGTGATTAATTTCATCGGCGCTTCAGTAATTTAGTTCTGGATAGCTAGGTTCGACATTGTACATGTACCTTTTTTTAGTACACGGAAGTGACGTCATCACGTCTGATTGGTTGGAAACAAAAGTGACGTAATTTCCCTAGAAAAATGTGGGCGGAGTCGGCAAAACTGGGCGGAGTCGGCTACCGGACGTGACAACAAAATGACGTTTCGTTTTGTACCGAGTACGTTTCAAAAGGTACTTGCTCGGAACTAGGTGTCATTGGCAGCATGTTTTTGGCGGCGAGGTGTCGCCGTCTCGTCACTTCGACTTTTTCTTTAATGGAGCTTTTTTTTTCGCCAGAAAGGCTGTATCGGGAACACCGCGATGCATTCGAGCTCCCGGAGGAGATCTTTCGGAAGCAATACCGCCTGCCCAAGATCGTGGTGCGGTGGTTGTGCGACGAACTTCGCGAGGAACCGGAGGTGAGGAGAGTGCGTACCACGTCATGACTGTAGAGCTTCAAGTGTTGTGTGCACTGCGCTTCTACGGCACGGGGAGCTTCCAAGGCATGGTGGCGAGCGACGAACACGTAGCGCGGGACCAAAAGACAGTCAGCGTTGCGGTCCGCGCCGTGTCCGTCGCTATCGTGCGTCGTCTCGGGGTCCAGCGTGGCTGGATCCACTTCCCCGAGACGCCGAGCGAGAGGTTCGACGCGGAGAAGGGCTTCAGGCTGCTCGGCAGGATACCCGGCGTCATCGGTTGCGTGGACGGGACCATGGTCTCCATCGTCGGCCCGTCCAAGAACGACCCCACCGTCACGAAGGCGGCGTACTGGTGCCGCAAGTACTTCTACGCCCTCAACGTGATGGTGGTAAGTACACTCATGTTGCGTTGTCAAAACGCGCCCCAAATCTGTAGAAAAAAAAAAGGTATTGCCGATTCGGTTTAAGTATGCCGTTTTATGACTGCGGGCTGTGGGGTCTCACGACTGCGCGAGCGTGTGCTCTACGTAGCATGTGAGCCGTGAGACTCTTCTCCCAAAAATAATACTTGTCTGCTAAAACGTGCAAGCTTCCGTAAAAAAAAAAAAAAAAAAAAAACATTATTTTTGTTTCAAGGTAGTTAGTTGTACCTTGCTTCCAGGAAGGTGTGTTGACATGCATGTGTCAGACAAAATAACTTAAAAGGTTCTGAAATTGCGACTGCTTTGTGAACCATAAGTACAATCTACTACTTGTGGATTCAGGTAATTACATGTCAATATCTCTCTCACTTTCAGGTGTGTGACGCCGACTGCTGGATAATGTGCATCGACCCACGGTATCCCGGGTCGGTGCACGACTCCTTCGTGTGGCAATTTTCCTGGCTCCGAAACCAACTCGAGCAAGGGCAGGTGCCACGCGACGGCCGGTTCCTGCTTGGTGAGCATACTAAATTCATTCCTTACGCACACGGTGGCTCCCACTGCTTGAAAGCCACAGTACCACACATACTGTGCTTGTTGTGAGGCACACAGACACAGTTGCTGGAACTCCTTGAAGTGAGACAACACCCAAAGTTTGGCCATTAATCTCTGTTTATGTCCACATAACTCTCACACTCTGCAGGCTACGAAAGCCACACTACACCAATCTCACGACAGTGATAGACTATGCAAGGCATGCGACCGCAGTGCGAGTCGCTGTCCGGTTCGGCCCACTCACTGTTACTGTCTGCCTGTACCCTCTTGCTGGTTGGTTTTTGCATGAAGTTGGAGCTCTTTCACTGATACCTGGGGGCTCGCCTGGTCGCTTTGACGGTCGTCAGTTTGTACGGAATGGCATCAATTCCTCCTTGGCCACTTGGGGCTCGCCAAATATGTCCTCGGGTCGACTCTGTCCCACACACTGGATTCTTTTCCCTGACCCTTCTTCTTCGGTCTGCTTATATAGCTCCTCCTATTAGACCCTCCGTGTCCCAACAGGACCTGACTCCTTTCCAATCTAACCACCCCCTCTCTTTTCCCCATCTCCAACTCCACCGAGGATTTGGAAAGAGGTTCGTCGAACTGGCGCCTTATCCCCTTGCTTGCCAAAGACAAGGCCAGCGTGTTCTGCTCTGCCCGTGCCTAAGGTCACGGCCACACTCCCAAAAGCAACAGAGCTTTTATCTGTCGGATGCAAGGGTCTAATAATGCACAATAACACAGCACCCCTAAGGAATCGTGCACACATCCCATACAACCCACCAGGAAAACACATAGTTACATGAAATAATAGGGAGTTTGCAGGCAAGCTGGTGCTAATTAATCATAATGTAAACTGATACTGTAGTGCAGAAATATTAACACACTTTTAAGTCCCACTTAAGTTACATTATAATTGACATAGTGGCACACAGCTGTTTTCTTGCCTTTTATTTTAAAAAGTAAAGAATGTAATATGTTCCATCCTCTACATGTGCAGGTGACAGCGGCTACCCCTTGGAGCCTTGGCTCATCACCCCTGTCCCGCGGAACCACGCGACCTCCACCGCTTGCGGCCGGTTTAATAAGGCGCATTCCTCGATCAGGTCTGTTGTGGAGCGCTGCATCGGGCTGTTGAAAAACAGATTCCGGTGTCTGCAAAGGCACCGGGCTCTGTATTACCACCCTTCAACTGCCACCGCCATTATTTCGGCATGTGCAGTGCTCCACAACATCTGCCTTGCATCGAGCGAGCCAGAACCGGAGTCAGACTGCGACCCTGAAGAGTCAGAGTTGGAGTCTGAGCCGAGCTCGGACGGTTCTGAGCCGAGCTCGGAGAGGTCAGCCTTCCGGTCGGCCTCTCGGACAGGGGGAAGGCCCTGAGGCAGCGCCTTGTCGCCCGGTTCGGAACCCGCCGCAGACGTGCCCGTGCGGAGCGCCACACGCAAGGGGTCCGCCGCCACGACGGTAGTCCCGACCACCAGGGACACCGTCGGGAAGCCCCTCAGCGCCCTTGCTGCGGTGGTGCCCAGCACGGACGCCGCCAGCGACAGGGAACCTCTCGCCACCACGACTGAGGTCCTGACCACCAAGGACCCCGTCACAACCTTGCCCTCAGTGAAGCCCTCCCCGTGGAAGCCGTAAAGTGAACACTTCGCTTCCTGCTCCACAGTCATGGCCGTCCACAAGCTACATACTCTCTTCAGCTCCTACACCTTGTGAAGTTCGTCGCACAGCCAGCGTGCTGCCTCCAGATACGTGTCGAGTGCATCGCGGTGAAATCGATACAGCCTTTTTTTTTAATTTTTATGAGCAGAAGGCACGAGACGCAGTCGACAGTGACAGAAAAGGTTCGGAGGTTTAGTTGCCAGACCAACAGGTCATCTGGATTGCCCCTGCAAAGAACTCAGAAGTAATTTAGACTACCTCTAGAAAGAAATGCTTGCTTTTGCAGAGATTGCGCTCTTAGTTGCTGATTGAACCAGGGATATTGTTGTCATGGACATTGTTTCATTTTACAAATGCTTCAAAGCGTCTTGCCTTCTGCTCCATTTTATTATCTCTCTTATGGTACTTCATCAAAGTTAGGTGATTGTGTTATCTCAAGACAGTGCACATGTAGTTTGTTTTGAAAATTGCTTTATTTCTTAAAGAAAAACCTGTGACTTCATGAATAAAAGTGTGATAACATGGAATGTAATATTTCATTCTTGGAAGTAAAAGTGAGCATCGACTGGAACCATGTAAGCAATTGTGCAATCTTAAGTATATATCACAGATATCTTGTTGAACACTCTGGTCTTATTTGAACACAATAGTTAAATTTCGAAAGGAAAAAAAATATATATATATTCTTTGACTAGCATACCACCATATAAACACTGGACCACTTTGAAAGAATTATCACAGATGTTGCGCCAAACATTCTTATTTGAGCACAGCAATAGCAAGTTCTCGAAAGATAAAAAAATTGTTTCTGACTAAAGCAGCCGTCACTCGCGCGCTCCCAGTTGGTTCCGCCGACCCCTCCGCTGCCCCCGGCACACCCGTATCCTCGTGGTTCGACATTTTGGTTTGAAGAAGGCGCGTAGCGCACATCCCGCATAATGTTGGAACAACTTTCTCTCCAATTAATTCTTAAATGTATTGCAAAAGGGTACAAAAAAGCGGTTTGTTTTAACAACGCCCAAAAGGTTTTGATAATTTTTCAATACTTTTACCTGTACTAGAACAGATGCGACGGCCAGCGACGCACAGGATTGGTTGCCGTTCCTTCGCTAAACGCAGGAACTGCTCCCCGCGTCGTAGTAAATCCTACCCCGTATCCCGCGCGTAGGGACGCCTCAGGGAATGCGTAGCTACCTCCGCTCGTCGGTGGTTGGCTCCGGACGTCGCTGAAACGGGTGACGGGTGTCAAGTTTGCGATGACGTAGCGGCGTCAAAGTGGGCAGAGCCGCCACGTGAGTGTTGCTAGGATACGCTCCTCCTTTGCATTACGTCACTTCCATGTACCTTTTCTCAAATGTCCAACCTAGCGATCCTGGGCGCGCATTTTCTCGCGGAGTTGGTTTGTAAGTTGAAAAAGGGTACGAATAAAGACAGATAGACGCTCTTGATGTGGCGTGCCAGTGTGTGTAGTAGACGCATGGTAGAAAATGATAACGAATAGTTTTGTTTTTGTTATTATTTTCACGCGAAACACGGAACACCGAATCGGCGGCGCGGAGCGCGAAGCCGGCCTCTACGAACTCAAACGCTTCACTCTCTGACGCACGGAAGAAATATATATATATGTATGGCGTAAGATCGTTTATCTTTTTGAAATGTAGGGCGCTAAAGATTGTCTTTTGTGCAGCAGGAGAGCGAGTTGCACGGCTGGCCCTCCGTTTCAAGAGACCTCCTGACCCGAGTCTTCTTCAGCTGCGGATGGCCTCTGGAATGCAGACATGGATCGTGCCACTGAGAACTTGCTCCGAGCAAAAAGTGTTTTTATGAAATCGTGTTAGCTCGTGCGAATTCACTGAATAGGAACGAGTGTGTTTTCATCGAGACAGCTCTCGTCTGCAAACTTGCATTGTCGGCCTATTAAAGTCTGAGGTTAATAAAATCTGAGGTGAAACGGAGAAATCTGTTGTTTTGTGTTTTGCTGGTGAAGACGAAGCCCCTGCTGTGCACAACCTGCGGAAACCAAGTAAGTACCTTATCAGTTTTATTCAGAGATTTGATTTTTTCCCGTGGAAAAAAAAAAGCGAGGACATAAATTCTTCTTTCTTACGTTTGCGCTTATTGCAAGACGCTATCAGGGGCGATTTTTTTATATCTATACAGCCTTTGAACTTGTGTTTTTTCTTCTTTCTTTTTGTGATCTCCAGTGTACCAGATTTGTTGGCTTACTGTTATCTTTTTTTTTTTTTCTTCTCCCAACCTGCTTGGGGATTGGAAATGGCCTGCGGTATAAATGAATAAAAAGAATTTAAATACTTCCTGACGCCATAGGATCTTGATCTGCTTGCAGAATAACGTACTATAAAAATTACAAATGCAATTAAATAAAAAACATATAAAAACCCTGACTACGTACGAGGGTTCGAACCCGCGCAACCGACCTTCGAAAACGGACGTCTTAGCCGCTGGGCCACGCGCACCTACTGCTCTACGAGTTTGAGAAGTCGTTTTGTACGTGGCTTTTGGATTTTAGGCGCGCGCTCCGTGCAACGATCAGCCGTTCCGCCTAGCGCGCGCCGCACGAGATGAATGAATTAAATTAATCTCGCGCGCATAACGAACCTTCCTTTTAACCGAGGGAGCGCTTCAGAACAAAAACGCAAAGTGTGTTAGCAAATGATGACGCGGTGAGCAATATCGAACATGAAAATGACTGCTTTTCTGGGGCAAGTCGAATCAGTGCTCGTACAGTAAACCATCGACTCGATCAGAGGTAATCTACAGTCGTCGGGTCTTCTACGGAACGCGTGCTCACGTTTGACACCAACATCGCGTCTCGGAAACGAAAATTCAGCCTCGGAGGTCCGAACACAGGTTCGGAAAGTAGAATTGGCCGCCATGACCATGCCCACGGTAAAAGCGTCGTAGCATCGCGAAAACTTTTATTACACACGTTCAAAGTGGTGTCCGTAGAGTCTAGGAAGACCAAGGAACGCATCGCTGCTAGCGGTGACGAGATACGACCAGTATTAATGAAGCGAGATCGAAGAAAGGATCGGTGCCTAAAGTGAGGAAAGCGAATGGCTGGCTTCGATGTGAAAACTTTCAAACGCCGTTTATTTCGCGAAACTCGCATCACACAAGAAAAGAAATCGGTCTCTGTCCAGTCCAGGGGCGGCTGGGAACAAGTGTCCCCCATTTGATATCTTAAATTCAAGGTCGTAATATAGATTTCAGAATTTAAATATTTTCAATGGTAAAACAAAAGGGCCAGGTGGCGCAATGTACCGACCGGTCGAAATTGCTCAGCCGCACTCATGGATCCATTCATTCGAAACGGGTCATCTATCTATTCATTCATAAAAATGTAATTCCTGGCCGTGTTTTAAAATTAACAAAATCATACTGCAAGGTACTGCTTTTGTACCCCTGGCGTTTTGAAACCTGCCTGCGTCCAGCGTTCTTTCATTTCTGCTGTCACGTGACACGATCCGCCCGAGTAACTCGGGTTTATTAGGGTGAGATTTGAAACACAGCCCTGGTTTAATAAAACCAAACTTAGAATTACGGGAATCGTCTTATTTTTGAAAACGACGTCGTCGAGACCCGTGTTCCACAACAAGTTTAAATTATTTAGGTGAAGTATTTAGAAAGTTCGTGGTTTTTGTTCGGTTTTTGCAAAAAAGCAAATGGCTGCCGCGTGTTTTGCTCGCAACCGGAGGTGATTCAATCGCACGAAGCTCGGAAAGTAGGCTAGCTAGGACATTTATTTTAACCAGGGAGTGGGATTATGTTCCGAGGAACATTCGAGGCGCGTCTCATCGATGTAGCTAGTCTAAAAAGAAAGTTATCAACAGAAGTTTACGTGTAAGTAAGGCTTCACTGTACGATGTTTTGATTTCACATATGCTCGTATAAAGAAAACTACGATAGCTAGAAAGTTTTAATTCGCAGCGAATGATTGCGCTCTGAATTTAGACGCACTGTTAAAATTTCATCGCTCCAGCTAGTCTAGAACTCGTTATATTCGCGAAAACAGGTTTTGGGACTCTGCTCGGAAATTAACAAGCCCGACCAAGTTCAATCGTTCGCCTGTGGATATTCAAGACCGCTGGAGTGCATTCATCGATTGTGGTCGTGAAAACAACATCATAGGAACATGTGTGTGCAGTGAAACCGTGTCAGCTCATCTCAATCGAGACTGATGGATCAACAGGGAGGGTGTCCCGAGCACAAGTGGATGGATATACTTCAAAGAGCTGCCGCTCGCTCGGAATTAGAAAACCATTAAGCTATCCAATTGTCGGGAAAGGGTGTCGCACCATCATAAGGAGTGTTTGTGTGTCAAATTTCTTCGAGATAGCAAACGCAAAAGTTGTTTTATCGACCTAATAAAACCGCTCGGAGAACTCGGCTCATTTCTGCTGTTTTTTTCTGTTTTTTTGTTGTTGTTTTTTTTAGTGAAAAAAGATGACTCTTCAGATTACCATTTCTTTTAGGTAATTGAGAAGTTGCATTAAAGAAACGGCCTGCACAGTAAATACAAATGGTTCTATTGCGATTATTTCATAATTGAACCAGAAAAGCACATTAATGTTGGCCTAATAAGAGAGTCGGCTGTTTTTTATGTACTGCTAATGTCTAGGAAACGAAGAGTGCTAGAGCGACGATTCATTTTTGATACGAGTGCTTGCTTTCCTCCTGTAATGAACGAGCCCAGGTTGGTTAACACAGCTGGTGTCAAAGTTTATGTACGAACACAAAAGCTGAAGGTAGTCCTGATTTTTTCGAGCCTTTGAACAGTGGCGTGGGGTTTTGTAGTGTCTGAGAATAAAGACGTACTGCAGACAAGAAGACTGTGTCCTCGGTGTTGCTTGCCCACCCCCGTAAGATGTGGAGACGCACTTCATTGAAAACCTACGTGATTTACTAAGACGGGGGTTTCTGCAGAACCCCGTAGGGGGCTGTGCAGAGAATACAGGTCGACATCAAGCCTTCAGAACTCACAGGTACCGTTCGACAAGAATGCTGTAGCTGGACTTGAAACAAGCCGACGTGGGAAAGTACGGAAGCCGAGAAAACAAATGTGTCGGCCAAGCCGTAGCAAGGACGTCCCAGCACGACTGCGGACAGCGTTATCCTGGCTGTGCAAAGTGGACGTCCCTCGGAGACAAAAGGCAGACTTTTGGTATTCCGCAGTAACCATGCCTGCGTTCAAATTTTGGCCGTCAAGGGAAAAGGGACGTAGCTTGAGGGTTCCAACTGAACAGGTAGCAAGCTAGAAGGTTACTCGTGCTTCAGTTTAGCTCATCTTGCGCCAGAAAGTGCACAAGGGGACAAAATATAAAGTGTCGGGCCAGTTGTACTGTAGGGGCATGTTTGTTTGTTTGTTTGTTTATTGGAACTTTTGACAATACAGGATTGTCATGGTGCTGAGGCAAAAGGTGACAGTAAGTCACCTGACCAGGCCCCTAGCACCAGACTACACTTGCAGCAGATGCAGCAGATGCAGCAGGCAGACTAGTGGTAGAGTGCTATAGTTAACCATAAACAAAAACAAAAAATACGCAGTAACTAGATCACTACACTACATACGCTCTTGCAATGAAAAATAAATAATTCGCAACATGCAACAAAAATATATGAACTACATTACTACATTTACATCTGTACACATAATTTAGAAGACCACAGTATTATGCGGAAAGTAAAAAATATGTTTTTGATTTTTTTCTGAAAGTCAAGAGCTTTGAATTATGATCGATTATATCGATCAAGCCAGGGTGGAGGTTGAGAAGATTGGGAATCTGCCAAGATAGTAATTGCGTACCGTAATTTGTTCTGGTTCTGATTTTTATAAAGTTTGTATTTCTAAAATTGTAGTGTGTATCAGTATTCGTATATGTAGAAAGGAATAATTCACGGTCAGTTTTAACTTGGGAGAATATAACCTCAGACAATCGTTGATTATACAGTGCCTCAATATTCAGGATACGATCTTTCTCAAAGTATTGGAATGTATGATCGCGGCTTGATAGGTTTTCAATAAATCGTATACTTTTTTTCTGCATTAAGTACAAACTAGTCATATTACATTTAGATGTAACCCCCCAGACAAGTAAACAATAGTGCAGTCGAGAATGAACAGTAGTGAAATAGAGCTGACGTTTTAGCCACATTGGTAATAAGGCACGAAATCTATTCAGCATGCCAATAGACTGTGCGATGTCACGCTTCACAAAATTCACATGACATGTCCAGCGAAGGTTTTCATGAAAATGTATGCCTAAGAATTTGTATTCGGTAACCCTTTCTAGTGACCGTGACTGGAATACAATTTCGGTAGTAAGGTTAACTGGTCTGTTAATTGAGGAAAAAACAATATATTTTGTTTTGTTAACATTTAGAAGCAGCTGATTCGCATCAAGCCACTTCGATAAGTTTTTGAGCCATGCGTTTGTGACAGGAATAAGAGATGATAGGTCCCTGGATGAAAAAAAAAACACTCGTGTCATCGGCGTAAAGTACTATGTCTGGCGTATGGGGGATAGCAACAATGTCATTGATATAAAGAAGGAATAGTATAGGTCCTAATATTGATCCTTGCGGAACACCAAATTTTATATGTTCAGTGTCCGATTCTATACTATTAGCTACCACAAACTGGCTACGATTTGTCAGATAACTGCGCAATAGTTTAAGTGAAATGCCTCTAATTCCGTAGTGTGGCAGTTTATCAAAGAGAATATTATGCTTGATAGAGTCAAAAGCTTTATTGAAATCTACGAAGATGCCTATAGTGTAGGATTGATTTTCTATATTGCTGATAAGTTTTCCTCGGAACGTTAAGTAAAGCTGACTCAGTATATTTACCTCTTTGAAATCCATATTGGTTTGCAGAAATTAGTCGGTATTTATGAAGATGATTAATTATTCTAGATGTCTACAAAAAGCTCTG